GGTATTTCTGATTTTAGTTTGTTGTAAGCCGCCCAGAGTCCCCCACTGTGGGAAGATGGGCGGGGACAAGTCTAATCAATCAGTCAATCAATCAATCAAAGGAGAACACTCCTCTGCATATCTGGAAGAAAAAAAAATCCAGCTCAACAGACATAATCCTATAAAAAATTGCCACCCACCCTAACCCAAGCCCAAGGTCATGATCGAATGACCGGTTAAAGGAAGGCAGGGTAGGAGCCATAGAATCTCTGGAGCGATGCTATCCCAGAGGGCGTGTTGTGACAGAGAAGGCCTACTTCCGGAGTCCCATCAGATGACACTGCTTAATTATGAGGACCCAGCACATGCCAACTTAACTTCCCCTGTTTATTATGTCTTTAAACTCAGAATCATCTGGTTGGATGAGGCCAAAGGTTCACGTAGGCAGCATAGGCTTTCTCCGTGGCCAATCGTATGCTTCTAGGAAGAGTACATGTTCATCAGGGTGCCCATCTTTCCAGAAAAGGGATGGAGCTATAGGGAGAATGCTTCAGGAAGAGGGCATGATGGTACGTGGGAATATCTTTGGGAGACAGGAGAAGATCCACAGCCTAGGCAATGGATCTCAAGTCATTCCCACATACCATTGCAGAGGGCTTGAGGAAGTAGCTTTGTAACTAGTTATGTCCCTCATGCTAACAATTTGTCCCTCATGCTAACAATTTTATAAGCAGACACGTCCTCCCATTTTGAAAGAGTAGCCACAACACATTCTTAAAAAAATTAAGTTTTTTTCCAGCCTGAATAAGTGGGGTTCTATTTAGCACTTAAAAACTAGTTCCAATTATAGTCAGTATAATTCCTGTCCATGAACTGGAGGGACTATTTGGGAAAGAGAGTGCCCTGAGATGGAATTAAACTAACTTTACTGTTTCTCTATCCCTCCCTCTTTCTCTCTGTTGCAGCAATCGGCTCCCACAATTGCAGCCAACGGGTAAGATATTGTCAAGGGTTTTGAGAACGAATTAGTTATTTGGGGACCATAAATGGGGATCTTTGGAAGAGAGGATTTAAAGAAAAATTTAAAAGGAAGGTTGGAAAAGATGAGGATTTTAATGAATAGAGTGGGATTGGCTATAGAAATGCCCCAAACTCTTCCACTCCTGCACCCCTACACAGGTACTCATACAGACATATTACCACATGTAAAGCATACAGTTTCAAAATGTGGTTTAACATCCAAAGCAATGGCATCAAAAAATGTCATGGTGGCCGTGATTGCATGATCAAAACTCTGCCCCTTTATTACAGGTAATCTTCATTTAGCAAGTGCCTTGTTTAGTGACCATTCACTGTTATGACAGTGATGAAAAAGTAACTTTATGACCAATCCTCGCATTTATGACCTTTGCAGGTCTGTAAAGCAAAGGAAAGCTGAAGTAAGATCATAAGCACGATTGCGGTTTCACTCAGCAACCACTTCACTTAAAGAGTTGCTGGTCCCAATTGTGGTCACTGAACAAGGACTACCTGTACATGTGTTGCACATAAAAAGGAGCAGAGCTTTGATTGGGCATCTGCAGTTGTCATCATGGCTTTTCTGACCACCCCTGCAGATGTCCCTGATCTGAAGAGGGACATCTAAGATGCAGGGACTCTCAAACAGCTGTATAGGCATGCCATAATGCTACAATTATATGAATCCAAACATTGGTCATTCTAGACCAGCACTGTGTGAGTTGCAGCAGTCCAGAATCATAGGAAAAAAAGGTCTTTCCTAATTCTGTTGCATGAAATCTTTTAAAGAGGAAGTAAAAGACATTGAATATTTGGACCTGCAGAATATGTGTGGGGTTGAAGAGTGAAGATCTTTTCTGCTTTATAAGGTGAAGAAGTTCCCAATTCTGGCTTCTTCACTCATGGGCATCATCCGTAGTACAACCACCATTGTAGCATTAAATGAAACTCAATCTGAATCGAGAAGGAGTCTGTCTTGCTGAAGCCATGGTTCCAGCCCCTTCCCTGACCCCAGTGGGAAGGGAACCTTCAAAGAGAGATGAAGGGGTGGGTGTGCAACGGTTGAGTGGGTGGGGGTTAACACTTTAGAAGAGTGCAGTATGGAAGGATTTTTCATGGGCCCTTTGGAGGGTGGTGATGACCTTGGATAAATTGGGTAAAGCATTTGAACATTTGGAAGGTTTTCCCAGATTGAAGATCTTGGATCGTTTGTTTAAGCAATTCTACATTGCTTTTTTCCCCTCCTTCTTCTAAAAATCTTTTTTTTCCTATTTTTCTCTTTCTCTCTGTTTTTGCCCTGGGAGCAGCTGGGTCCGGTGGTAGACAGGAAAGCCAAGGATAGGAACTAGATAGGGAGGTGGTGGTAGGGTGCTCAGAAGTTTAGCATAGGGCAGGTGATGGTGTGTTGCAATTACTAACTGCAGGTTCTTGCCAGGGTGAGGGGTGCTTTCAGTGATCAGCAACCATTAGATGCTGAGTAAGGACTTCAAATTATTGTCCTGAATCTGAATGTACAAGTATTGGTGGCTAGGAATCTAATTGGCCCACCCTGCCTTCAAAGAATGAGGGCCTCTGAACACAGAATGTGATGACTGACATAAGATTCCCCATCGAGACTTCTGTATTTCAGTCCTGTTTCAATTCTCTGTCCTCTTTGAAGAAATACTTTAATTATCTATTTATTATTGGGTATTAAGAAATCATTGAGAAGTAGCCAGGATGGAGATTTCTGGCATAGGTTCCAGGACTTGTAAATAAATTCATTTCTCCGAATATGTCAGGAATCTTGATTCTTGCCAAGATCAAAAAGAACTAAAATATTCTGGCATGTCAATCTTCAGTCAAATTATTTACATTTAATCTGTTCTGTAGTGCTTTGAATTGGGCTATGCTGAGAAAAAATGTATTACAAATGCTATTTTAACTATCTCTCAAACAGTCCTAAGAATTATACCATGAGGACGGTACCGAGGATTGGTTTACTAGGGAAACGGGATAACTGTTAAAATTAGTTTTTAGAGTTTGTAGCATAGATAAGCTCATAATGATTTACTCTTTAGAGCTAAGAATAAGTAAACTAACAAAAGAGAGCTGTACCAACAGTAGAGGCCTGGAATTAAACTAGATAAGCACTCAATACAGTTTCCTTCCTATACAGGCACACATTCATACATTTTTATTAACTTATTCATATGCACGCACATGCGGATATGAGGAAGTACCTAATAATCAGGTTATAATGTGGCAAGGAGGGAGGGGAATCTCTCATAGTTCTCAAAATAAATTAAAATCAGATGACTCTTTTGTAGTTGAACTAAAAATTCTGGATTTGACCAGCACTGCCTGAGTGCAAAGATAAAACTAGACTAAGGTCTCAGTGTGTCACTGAAATAATCCTTCCTAGTCTCCCTCTTTTTATTGCTTAGAATAATTTCCACAACTATTTATACCCAGAAGCCTATGGAGGCAAGTCATAGAAACCAGAGGATTGTGGTTTTTTACAACTTGGAAAATGAGCTAAAGCACATCCATGCTAAATATAAACAAGGTTAAGGCCAATGTCATGGTTTTTCCAAAAGATAACTGGAAAACATAGTACCACAGAATTGGAGAAAATGCTTGGTTAGAGTCTTGGCCACATAATGTGTTTGCCATGTGGCAGAACTCTGCAGAACTCTGGAGTTATGTTAAGGAGGAAAGGAAGAGGAAGCAGTTAGTAAAGATGAACTGCTGTAAGGAGACACAATGACTGTTTTGCCTTATAGCAGCTCATTTTTATTGCTGTGCTTAACTGCCAGGGGAAATTAGCAGATAAAAGGAGAGAAGAACCACAGGAGAGGGGGAAGACACTCAGCAGTTTCTCCTCCATTAAATGTGTGTGTGTGTGCACATGTGCACACGCATACATGTTGTATGTTGGGAATGGACCCCTCTCAGAAATTGAGCGTAACAGATAGCTGATCTCTTCAAACCGGATACAAAAGGATCACACAGGGTTCACACAAATGCCCATCTGCCCATATATTTATACTGTAATTTGCCCATCCTTTTTCAAAGTTGAGTGGATCACAAAACAGGGCATTTTTGCAAAGCTTTCAAATATTTCTGCATTAGGGTTCATGCTTCATAACTTAATTGATATCAGTTTCTAGAATGTCCACAACATATGCCTTACAGCAGGGTTTCTCAAACTTGGCAACTTTAAGATAAATGGACTTCAACACCCAGAATTCCCCAGTCACCATGGCTGGCTGGGGAATTCTGGGCATTGAAGTCCACTCATCTTAAAGTTGCTAAGGTTGAGAAACACTGCCTTACAGTCTCAAAAAAAAAAAAAAAA